GCCCGGGATTTAAATATCCCGGGCTTCATTTGCATGTTCCTGGGCGCCACCATTTTTAAATCCCCCTTAGTCCAAACTAACTTCCCGCGGCTAGACGCGGCAGTTAAACGTTAATTCGAACTAACTCATTAGTTCGAATTAACTGTTACTCCTCATGGAGTAACACGAGCAAAAGCCAACTTGGTTTCTGTAAAGGGAAATCATGTCTTACTAATCTATCAGAGTTCTTTGAAGGGGTCAGCAAACATGTGGACAAGAGGAATCCAGTAGATATAGTGTACTTAGACTTCCAGAAACCCTTTGACAAGGGCCCTCACCAAAGGCTCTTACGTAAATTAAGATGTCATGGGATAATAAAAGACAGGAAACGAAGGGTAGGAATAAATGGTAAATTTTCAGATTGGTGAGGGGTAACTAGTGGTGTCCCCCAAGGGTCAGTCCTGGGACCAATCCTTTTCAACTTATTCATAAATGATCTGGAGAAAGGGGTAAGCAGTGAGGTGGTAAAGTTTGTGGATGATACCAAACTGTTTAGGATAGTCAAGACAGAAGCAGACTGTGAAGAACTTCAAAAGATCTCATCAAACTGAGTGATTGGACAACAAAATGACAAATGAAATTTAATGTGGATAAATGTAAAGTAATGCACCTTGGAAAAAATAACCCCAACTATACATACAGTATGATGGGAGCTCATTTGGCTACGACAAATCAGGAAAGATATCTTGGAGTTATCATGGATAGTTCTCTGAAAACTTCCACACAGTGTGCAGCGACGGTCAAAAAGGCAAATAGGATGTTAGGAATTATTAAGAAAGGGATAGAAAATAAGACCCAGAATATCTTACTGCCCCTGTATAAAACTATGGTACGCCCACATCTTGAATACTGTGTACTGATGTGGTCTCCTCACTTCAAAAAAGATATTTTGGCCTTAGAAAGGGTTCAGAAAAGGGCAACTAAAATGATTAGGGATTTGGAATGGGTCCCAAATGAAGAGAGGTTAAAATGACTGGGACTTTTCAGTTTAGAAAAGAGGAGACTAAGGAGGGATATGATAGAGGTCTATAAAATCAAGAGTGGTGTGGAGAGGGTGAATAAAAAAAAGTTATTTATTAGTTCCCATAATAGAAGAACTGGAGGACACCAAATGAAGTTAATGGGTAGCAGGTTTAAAACTAATAAAAGCAAGTTCTTCTTCACACACCGCATAGTCAACCTGTGGAACTCCTTGCCAGAGGAGGCTGTAAAGGCTAGGACTATAATAGAGTTTAAAGAGAAGCTAGATAATTTCATGGAGGTTAGGTCCATAGAAGGCTATTAGCCAGGGGATAGAAATGGTGTCGCTGGCCTCTGTTTGTCAGAGACTGGAGAAGGATGACAGGAGACAAATGGCTTGATCATTGTCTTCGGTTCACCGTCTCTGCGGCACCTGATGCTGGTCACTGTTGGCAGACAGGCTACTGGGGCTAGATGAACCTTTGCTCTGACCCAGTCTGGCCATTCTTAAGTTCTTATGTAATTTAGTAATTCACTTTATAATTAATTATTTAATTGGTAATGATTGTGATTATTTCCTTTGGGCCCACCTATAACCTAACTGTGATTCATTTAATTTTGGTCACACTGAAATCCTGCAGAGCATTAGGGACTTGGGGAATTTTTAGGAAATTTTGACTAATTTGTGGAATACATCATATGGAAAGATTGCATCATCATGTGACACAAATCACCCAATAACTCAAATGACTCATTGCTAAGGGATGCTGTGAAGGCCAAAACAATAACAGCATTCAGAAAAAAAAAATTAATCAAGTTCATTGAGGATAGGCCCATCAAATGCCACTAGCCAAGATGATCAGGGGAGCAACCCCATGCTTTGGGTGTCCTTAGCTCCTCATGGCTAGATGTGGGGACTGGACAATGGGGGTGTGTCTAAACTACATGGCTCCATCAATTGAGCCATGTAGATTAGGCTGATCGGCAAAGGGAAATGAAGCCGCGATTTAAATAATTGCGGCTTCATTTAAATTTAAATGGCTGCCGCGCTGAGCCAACAAACAGCTAGTTAGCTGTTTGTCGGCTCAGCGTGCTAGTCTGGACACTCTCGAGCTGACCTGAAAGCCCTTTATCGACCTCCCCGTTATGCCTCGTAGGATGAGGTTTACTGGGGAGGTCGATAAATGCACAGCTGATCAGCTGTTTGTCGGCTCAGCGTGGCAGCCATTTAAATTTAAATGAAGCCACGATTATTTAAATTGTGGCTTCATTTCCCTTTGCTGAACAAACAAATCTACATGTCTCCGTCGACAGAGCCATGTAGTTTAGACATACCCTGGGGATGTATCACTTGATAATTATCCTGTTCTGTCCATTCCATTTCAAGCATCTGGCATTGGCCAATTTTGGAAGACAGGACACTGATCTAGGTGAACTATCAATCTGACCCCATATGACGGTTCTTATATATATTTTAATCAACTACTGAAAAGCCAGAAATATTGAACCTGGCAAAGAATATCTGAACAGAGAAAATCTCTTTTCCAGGCACTCCTCAATGTTTGTATATGAAACATCCTCTACGTCAGATTGGCATTTTAAAAAATTACACATAAACACCAGGGTTTCAGTTATCGTGATGACAAAGGTCATGTAGGAATCTGTATAGATAGATTTGAGCAGCCCAATTTTCAAATGTTGGTACCTCACAATGGAATGGAAATCCCACATTTGGAAGCTCAAATCAGGATTCAGTGCATGAGTGCTCATTTTAAGTGCCCCTCTGAACATCCAAACGTTAGATCAGTATATCCTCTAACAGTGCTGGTACATGGAAATTTGGCCTACAGCATATATCTAATGGCAGAAAATAAATTGACTCTAAAGAACATGCTATGTGGGTTTTTTCCCCTTGAGAAGTAGCAAGGGTAATGGGGGTAAAAAATGTAATGTCAGCTGGCTATGTTCTTTAAATTATAGAAGAGTATAAAAAAGGAATTTGTTCTGTTACCTCATGTATTGTTTGTGATCTTACATGACTATGTGAAGCTGGCTTCTGACTTGTGCAAATGGAGTGGGTATGTGTATTTAATAGGCCACCGTCAGCAACTTCATATTTCAGATGGGGCTGTTCTATGCATTTAACGAGATTTCTTGATGAAAACTGTCAAGCTAGCTTGACTCCTGGTGAGCACAGAATAGAAGTGGCAGGTCACTCACACTATCTTCAGTTTTCTCACCATCTCTCCTAATTAGTTTCTTACCTCCTATCTCAGATTTTTGGAACCATAATGTATCCTGGGTTTGACCGTGATCTACCAACACCCAGATTACAGTTAACTTGCCTAAAGAGCTAACATATCCATATTCATTATTCAAATAGCAGAACAAACTTTTATAGTTGTTCCATTTGTTAATACTCTCCATAGCCAGACCCAAAAGATTTACTAATATGTTCATTACATTTCAATGAGAAAATACTGTCTGTCAGCCATGAGAATGCATTATTGATGCATGAAGATGAGCCATCAATTATCCATGTTAAGCCCACACATCAGTGTGTTTTACTCTTTATCCACAGTGCTCCCCAATAAATAATATAGATGTGCTTAAATTATACTTTTAAAAAATTCATAATTGGTTAACATTAAAAGTGCAGACTGCTACTAACACCACTTGCCACATTTATTGATGTGTAACTTACTTCAGCATCATTTATAGTCTTTAGATGGTGGTTAACTTTTATGAGTTACCAAGTGCTGCATTCATTGTTTATATTGAGTTATGTTTAACTTTCCAATTTTAGCAATCTATGTCATTTAATGCACAGCTAATTTATTATTAATTATTGTTATTATTAGACAGAAAAAGATTTCTGTGGAAATAAAATGGTCATTAAGTTTTAATTGAAATCAATTGATAAGGTCAGTGGAAAAAGGCATTAATCAGCTGGAGATGTTCTTTGGCTTTGAAACATTAAGAAAAATACTCAAACAGTGAATGAAAGTTTAACTAGTCATGAAAATATTTAATTTAATTAGTTCTACCACTATGCTCTAGGCTAAGGTAATAAACAGTTAATGTCCTTGATGTCTGATACTTTAAAAAAAAATCAATGATCAAAACATATGTCTCAGTGCATGAATAATTTAATAACATCTAATTGCAGAATGAGCATATTGCGGCAACTTAAAATGTAGTGTAAACAGCAGCTGCAAGTGAATACGATTCCTAGGTTGGTAATACCATGAAGAGAGAGGAAAGGCAGAGGGAAGGGTTTTGTTAGAAATCCAAGTAGATAGTCAAATAGATTAAAGTCTGGAATTTGGCACTTTGCATATGAACACTGTAAAAACTGTAACTCCCTGAATTCAAAGTGTACTAAAATGAAAACAAATTTTCAACAAATGCCCAATCCATTACTCACCATGTATATTCATAAATAATGATTGTGTTTGAGAAAAAGTAATTTAAAGGCAACATTTTCAAAGTAGGGTCTCTAAAGTTAGACACCTAAATAGTAGTGTCCTGAACAGTTGAAGTTCCCACTGAAATTAATATTTACGGAAAACATTAGACTTTAGCTTGCCAGAAGAATAACATAACTGCTTAAAATATAAACACAATTAAACTCAAATATATTCAATCGATTGCAGTGTAGAAGATTAAATAGCTGAAGCCTGTCAGATTCAAGACACAGGTGAGAGCATGTTATACACCAGTGTTTCTTAAACTGTGTTCTATAGCACACTGGTGTGCCGTGAGGTAGTCAGAGGTGTGCTGCGGAGAACAGAATTCCAAATGGCCACTCTTAAAGGGACAGGTGACCTTTTTTTTTTCCCTCAACAAAAAATCCTTGGTGTTCCGCATAAAAAAAATATTGTTTGGTGTTTCTCGGTCTTAAAAAGTTTAAGAAACACTGTTTTACACCGATCTAGAGTGTAGAAAACCGCATAATGAACTTTTTAACGTTGAGAACTGAGCATTCATTCAATTCCTACCTGCAGAGGTTGTCACAATTTCTGAAGTATTCCTGAGACCCATGAAGTCAAACTGATAGAGTCTCCAAGATTTCTGGTCTGCAGCCTCTACTGAGTTTTTCCTCCATCTGTATACCATTTCTTCCTTAGGATAGCCATCTGTAAATTTTTAAAAAAGTGTTACCTTTCTTAAGGAAATGGTGGAAAAACATATGTATGATTTTTGATAATTTGAGAATGTTGAAACTCGTGGAGGTCATTTTATTGATAAGATTCAGAGGAAGATAGTTTTATGGCATAGAGAAGACCCAATAGCAATATGTTTACTGGAAAAGACTACTTTATTAATTCACTCACACACCATATTTCTATAGAGATCAAAGTTCAGAAGAAGTTGTGGGGAAAGGGCAGATTAGGGCTGGCCAAAAACATTCTGTTAAAATTCTTTACAGGAAAATTGTGTTTTCTAATAAATACTAGCCAATAGCCCATCATAGAATGGGATTTTTTGGGTCTCTCCCTCTCTCTCTCTCCTCCCTCCTGCTTCCCCCCTCTCTCTCAGCTCTCCTCCGCCTCCTGCCTCTCTCTCCTTCTCTTCTCCCCCTCCTGCCTCTCACTCTCTCTTTCTCTTCACCTCCCCCTCCTGCCTCTCACTCAGGGGATCATGAGGGGGCAAGCAGCTCAAGCAGCTGTTTGGGCTCCACAGTCCCCATGCAGCACAGGGACCGCGGCGTCTAAACGGCCACTTGCTCCTTCACGGCGGCCCAACTGAGTGGCGCAGAACTCAGCTGAGTGCGATGGTGGGAAGTGAAAGTGTGTGGGGCCCCATCCCCGGCCATGTATGTCACTGCCCCGCCCCCTTCTCCTCTCGCCGTGGCGCTCGGCTGAGTTCTGTGCCACTCAACTGGGCTGCAACAGGGGAGCAAGCAGCCATTTGGGCTCCCCTGCGGCAGCCCAGCTGAGCAGTGCAGAACTCAGCCGAGTGCCACGGCGGGAGATGAAGGGGGGCGGGGTGGTGACATACAGGG